AAAAAAGGTCCGATGACTCCTCCAGCGAAAACAGCACACCATACAGTGACTTTGAGCGGGTGTAATGGCTCTTCGTGGGTTACACGCGGATTTTCAGTGCCCCAGAAGCGTAAATTTTGCTTATTTACGTACCCGCTAAGATGGAAATGGGCCTCATCACTCTTGATTATTTTTGATGAAAAATCATCTTCCTCTTGGTGGTGATTAAGGATGGCGTTCTGGAGCAGTGTAGCGTAACATTGTTTATTAACGTGTATTTCGCATGTGTTTACTACACAAATGTCAAAACAGAACTGACATTAGGGGCCAATCGCAAAATTTATAGCATTTTCTGATAGGAGGATTACTTTAGCGCCACCTTGTATATATACAAGAACTGCTCGTTTAATGTAATAAGATAGTTTCCAGTTTTCATACTAAAACCCTATGAAAATTCACTATTTTGCTACTATCTCCCTCACTACCAGCGTAACACTTTTCAGCTTTAAATCGGTCTGGCTCTTGCTTTAGCAACCGAATTAATGTCTGGCAAATTAATTTTAGATTCGTTAGAACTTAAACAACATCATATTAAATTTTGAGCTTTACTAAAATGAGTTGAAAAATAAATTTTTTTTTGTAAAAATTTACATCTGGCACAATGTTAGCAACGACGGACATTAGGGTGTCCCTAAAAAAATCAACTTTCCAATTTATATCGAGAAGCTTTAAGATAAACTAAGTAGGGCGAGGTTACCTTCAAACCTGCAAGTTTTGAGGCTGTTAATCAATAAGTTACGAGCAAAACCTGGCAAGGGATCTCAAACTGCAGCATACTCTTTCACAGCGAAGGATATAATGCAAGTACGGGAAAAAGCGCGTATTCCTACTCGAGTCAGCTGAAAAGTTTGTATGCCGAACGGAGATCGCTCCAAAAAACAGCCAAACGACGTGATTCTACTCAAATTTCAAGAGAAGTTGCTTTTGAAAGTAAATTTGGTGACTTATTTGATATTGCTCCAGTGGACGTGATGATTCAAATGAAGAATGAAGAAGACAAAAAGTTTTTAATATTACAACGAGAAAAAGGACGTGTTGGTTGTATGGGTTCCGTTGATGTGAAGCTTCATAAGAAAGAAAAGCGAACAGCAGAAAGAGAAAAGAAAGCTATGAGAAGGAAGGAACGCTGGCAACAAACAATGAAAATGGGTAAGTGAAATAAATTTTTTTCTTAATAATTTAATGGTTTTATCGTTTGTTTTGTAAAAATATTTAACTGTAAAATCTAATCACTGGAGCAAAGGATATAAGTACGGCTATGGAATTATTCGATTTCTTGAGAAAGTTGGTTAATCAGTCTTTTGGTTTATCACTTACTCCAATAATAAAGATTTTGATTACTTAATATATGATTAATATGTGATGAATTAAAACTTTTAATGATCTATTCTTCGCGCAGTCCTAATTTTTAATGATTGTGTTCACAGATGCCCAAACTGCCACCACAGATTCAGCTCAATCAGACAATACTGATTCCGTCGCGGAAGATCAGTCACATTCTGATGAAGCTGAGATTCCCTCCACTCAAGGATTGAGTACCTCCAACAACTTGATAGCAGGAACTGAAAAAAAGAAAAGGGGACGAAAAAATGCAATGTCGTCAAAATTGGCAAACATTCTGGAAGCTTCTAAAGTAAGCATTAGATCAGGGACAAAAATAGTTTTTTGCGCTGCTGAAAATTTCGACGTTAATACGTCTGAAATAAATGTGAACAAGAGCTCCATACACCGGGAAAGAACGAAATATAGAAATCAATCTGCAGAAAAAATTAAAAATGATTTCATAGAAAAACTTCCAAATAAATCCAAGTTAATGGTCCATTTTGACGGCAAGAGGATGAAATTAAGTGACGGAACTGTAATGGAACGATTACCCGTGTTCGGTAACTGGACCCGCAAGAGCAGTTGCTCGGCTCTCCGTCCCTTCCAGATGGAACAGGCTCTGCGCAAGCAAATGCAGTTGTTCTTTTACTTGAAAAATGGGGACTTTGTGAAATGGTGCAAGCTGTTTGCTCAGATACGACGGGGTCAAATACAGGTAAATTCATGTCAAATGAATATCTCTAAAATGCATAAAATTGCCGCAATAGTTGGTTTAAACAAAATTTTGAATAGACATGTATTTTTTCAACAGGACAGAGGAACGGTGTATTTGTTTTAATAGAGAAACAGCAAGGAAGAACACTGCTTTACTTGGCTTGCAGGCATCATATGGCAAAGATTATCTTGAAAAATGTGTTCGAAGTTTCTGTTAATGTGTCTTCAGGTCCAGAAGTTTCCATTTTTAAAAGATTTCCAAATCAGTGGCCCACTATTGACCAGAAAAAGTTCTTAATTGGGATAGCACATAAGAACATTCCTCCAATCCTACGAGAAAAATCAAATAAAATACTTCAGTTTGTGCAGCAAAAATTAACTGTAAGTTGATCTCTATTATTTTAATAGCCGTGTTAAACAGTATATTATTTCGTGTCATGTTTTAGGAAGATCATTGCCGAGACGACTATAAAGAGTTGCTGGAGCTTGTATGCATTTTTTTGGGAGGTACACCGCCACGAGGGATAAAATTTTACAAGCCTGGTGCGATTCATGAAGCTCGTTTCATGTCAAAAGCAATTTACTCGCTAAAAATTGTCATGTTTAAGAATCAAATAAAGTTGACAGCCAAGAAAGAAAAAGGATCGACAGCAGTGAGTGTATTTGTTGCTGTACTCTACGTAAAGTACTGGTTTACTGCAAGTGACGTAATAAGTGCGCCTCGAAACAACTTTCAATTTTTATTAGATTTGAAACTCTATGAGAAGACTGATAACTTAATTTCCAATACGGCTTTAAAGAAATTCAGTGGACATTTATGGTACATAAGTCAGGAGCTAACCGGATTAGCACTCTTAGATGATAGTCTGCACCTTTCAGTTAAAAGTAAAATGGTGAAAAAGATTTCGACAAAGACCTCCCGGAGTGAACCACCCTCTTCAAGAGCAATGGAGGGTTCCGGGTTACAACGCATAAAAGTAACATCGCAACACCTCAATAACTGGTTAAAAAATGATTTGAGTCATTTCGTTACTCCGAATACTATTAAACTCTTTGAAAGATTTGTATTATAATTCTGTTTCTTACACTCTGATCCTGGAACCTGGAATTTGCGAAAAGACTTTACAGAAGCTCGCAATTTTTTTCAAGTTTGAGTGTAACTAACGATTTTGCAGAAAGATGTGTGGCTTTGACGCAGGAATATATGGGCCAAGTTAAGTGCGAAACAAATTTCCAGGATTTACTTATTGTATCCCAGGCCTCACGTCGAGAGTTTTCAAGTTGTACTAAAGAATCTTTATCCAAAGACGCGTTTTGAAATTACTCGTATATTATATAATATTTGACAAATATTGAAATTTCAAACTACCAATTATATAAAAACACATGAGAAACAAGTAAGAAAGTCTAAGTTCGGGCGGAGCCGAACATTAAATACCCGGCGCAAGTATTAAATATATGTTTTCCACCTTTCCGAAAGCTACCGCTACATGATAAGCCGGGGTGTATACATTTTAAGTAAATTAGCGTCCTTAAATTTCGAAATATTGAAATTTCAAGCATTTCTGAAATTTACCGTTATATGAAAAGCGGCCTCAATTTTAGTCCGATTTCAACAATTTTCAACGGTTTGCTTTTATGTGGCAAGCACAATAACCATACCGAGCTTGGTACAAATTGCTAGAACGGTTAGCGAGATACATATATGTGATCACAAGTGGGCGGTGCTACGCCCATTTTCCAAAATTTTGTCATAAACGTATTTCTTGGTAAAGAATTGTTGCAACCATCAATTTTGAATAAATTAGCTTCAATATTTACTGATTTATCGAAGATTTTGTATTTCTCGAAATTACCGTTATATGGGATGTGGGCGTCGTTATTGTCCGATTTTAGAAATTTTCGGCCGTTTGGTATGGTAGGATCAACAACTGCGCCAAGTTTGGAAGAAATTGGTGTAGCCGTTACCAAGATATACACATGTAACCATAAGTGGGCGTGGCTACGCCCATTTGCCAAAATTTAGTAATATTCTTATTTTTCGTCTAAAACTCATTGCAAATATCCATTTTGAGTGAATTATCTTCAGCAGTTATTAAAATATCGCAGTTTTCGTTTTTCTGAAAATTACCGTTATATGGGAGGTAGGCGTGGTTATTGTCCGATTTTTAAAATTTTCAGCCGTTTAGTATGGTGTACCAAGGTCAACAACTGTGCCAAGTTTGGAAGAAATTGGTGCAGCGGTTGCCAAGATATACACATGTAACCATAAGTGGGCGTGGCTACTCCCATTTTTCAAAAATTTATAATATTCTTATTTTTCGTTTAAAAATTATTGTAAATATCATTTTTGAGTGAATTATCTTCAGTAGTTACTAAAATATCGCAGTTTTCGTATTTCTTAAAATTACCGTTATATGGGAGGTAGGCGTGGGTATTGTCCGATTTCGCCCATTTTCAATACCATCCGTCCTACGCCCAAAAGAAGTTCACGTACCAAGTTTCGTTAAGATATCTCAATTTTTACTCGAGTTATCGTGTGCACAGGCGGACGGACGGACGGACGGACGGACGGACAGACAGTCACCGCTTAATCGATTTCTCTTTTCATTCTGATCATTTATGTATACATTTGTCTATATCTATCTCGATTCGTTTTGCCTGTTACAAACAACCGTTATGTGAACAAAGTTATAATACCCTTGTGCACAAGTGCGCTCGGGTATAAAAATCAAAAATTGTATTTCTTACATAGATATCTGTGTTCGCATGGAATAATAGTTATGTCAGGAAGCTGGAATTATTATAATGTGGCATTACCTTTATTCTTTAAACGACACGGATTTTTTTTACGAGACTTAATAAGAATATTGACTTCCGATACTAGGAACTGTTTCTTGCATGTTTATTTGCCAAAGAATCTTCAGCGACACGGCGGTAGTGAGTCATTCGCGATCGTATGCTGCGAATGCTGCCTTATACTAAAGCCAGCCTTTCGACATAAGCTACTTTTGCATATGAACACAGATATGAACTTTAAACTTCTTGTGGCAGGGCGAAAAATTTTGCGATCAAGTTGAGTTTGAGCGCAAAAGTTATGGAATTTAAGAAAGAAAAAAATAAAAAAACTTCGGAAGGAACGCCATACAAATTTGGAAAATCGGTATTATAAGGGACACCCTAACGGACATGTCTGCAATAATAAATCTACATTTCTAAAAGCTGGTTAAAGCCAATGATAAGAAAATTAGCCATACTAAAAGGATTTAAAAAATTAGCACTTTTAACTGCAAAGATACGATGCGCACTAGTCATTGCAACCATTACCGCCTGCCAGATGACCCTCACGCTCAGTGTTGCCATTTTAGCCGTTTTCCGGCTAGATTTAGCCGGTTGCGATAGCAAACAGCCGGAGAAATTTCGATTTAGCCGGCAGCCGATTTGTTAGCCGTTTTGCAGTAAACTTTTAGCCGTTTTTAGCCGATTTTGCTATTTGCCTTGTTTTCTTAAATTTCAAATATGTATATATGTTTCCATTTTTGACTAAGCGACCCAAAATCTGTTAGAAATGGCTACTAGCCTTATCGTGGAGAAAATTTTCATGTCAGGCAGGGTTGTATGAAATTGGGCCGATTTCGCCTATTTTTATTTTAAACGAAGAAGGGATTTTCTTCATAAAATGTTTGCTATAAATGTCTTAATTTTAAGTGTGATGTTTTATTCGCAAACTTAGGGAATAAGAAATTGTTTCACTGTTAAGATACTTAAGATGCGTTTGTGTTTGGATATAGTGCCAACAAACAGAATAAATATTACATGTAGATATTGTCTTCCCAGATAGCGCATATTCAATTCTGCCTAAATTACAAAACATCATTTTTGCCCACTCCCAAAGGTTTAAGGTAAGGGAAAAATTTATATTTTCAAGCATTATATACACATATGTATTTTTTTAAACAAACCTTTTTGCTGAGAACTTATTTAAATTCCAACTTGAATTAAAGGAACCAACACTGAAGTGAGTCAAAATGAAAATAGAAGAGCACAAATTTCTATGTAAAGCAAAACTCTCTGGGAATCCTACGAGACATCTGCCGGTCATATGACCGGTCATCTAAATTGGAGATCTGCAGTCTTTAGACATCATGTTTTACATCAGAATTGAAGGGATTTCTGAAAAATCTGGCCAGTTTTTTTGTGTAACTGTGATTTTGCATCCCTTGTCAACATATGGCCTCGGTTGATGTTAACTTAAGGTCGTTGTTTTACTGCCTTAAAATTGAAGGGAAATTTTTACAGCGTTTTTTATGTGTATTGGTTTCTATTTGAGTGTATTGAGAATCGGTCAGTCTGAGAAGGCCTTGTAGGGAAGACAATATGTTTGTTCGTCGAAAATCCAGCGAGAATTATCACTCAAAATATCAGATAGTAAGAAAAAATGCTCCCAAATTGTCTCTCATGTAGAGAAACTTGCGATTTTCTGTACGAACGCAAATTTGCAAGTTTTTCTGCCAGCTAGTGTCCATGGTTGCATTTCAAACAAAAGAAATTTGTATAGAATTTTTAAAATTCTTTCAGAGGAGCAAAAAACAGGATCTACGTGTATATATCTTGTCAGTCCGACTTTCTTCAACATACGTTTCAATTTCTTTGTCGGGTTTACTACACAGTTTTTTTTTGCAGAGTACCTTTCAAATCATCACTAAATTAATTAAGTAAACAAGTATTAACTTACATTTTTCAGTTTAAAATGGCTCCAGTTTGTAAATTTTTAAATTTAAGGAACTTGTTTATTCAAATTATCATCGCCAAAAAATCCAACCATGTGCCACAATCATATGTTTCTCCTAATTGCAAATTCTTGCTGGCAAAATTTATTCGGCTCGAATTTGTAACTTCTCTCCAAGAAATAGTCTTTTTACTCGTGA